AACTAATATATTTTAAAGTACTTTTTTACACCTGTAAATGTATAGAAGATTGATTATAGGCAAACTTAAATAATACGAGAAAAATATTGAAATGAATAAATATTATCAGTAAAACAATTGATGTCACCACAACATGAAGATTGATGTGGGAAAAATTGGTTAAATTACAATGTATAAAAAACATAGTTTTATATTTTTAAATAAAAAGATTAAATACATGCAGTGGTTGTAAGCAAACTTAAAAAAATACAAAATAATATTGAAAGAGATGTTATTAGTAAAAGAAATGATGAGTACACTAGAACATGTAGACAAATGCTGGAAAAATTATGCTAATAAAAAATATTTTTATTAAGTCATTCATTCATTTTCTTTTCAGCTTAGTTTTTATTAATCCGGGGTCGCCACAGCGGAATGAACCGCCAACTTATCCAGCAAGATTTTATGCAGCGGATGCCCTTCCAGCCACAACCCATCTCTGGGAAACTATTTTATATATATTTAAAAAAAAAAAAAAACATTAATGACTTTGACTTTAGGCTAACATAAATGTGACAAAAATACTTATAATATTCTTAAAATAAGTTATACGAGTACAACAAAAATAAAGATTTATGCTTGAAATCAATACCACCATTACCACCACCATTGAAATATTATTTTACTATTGTGCACAACAATTATTAAGGTGGACTTTTAAAGCATATTTTCTAGTGTTTTTTTTTTATTGTAAAATATATTAATATCTTGTTTCAAAATCATTGTAGGATTAACAAATTAAAATCAGACATCAATAAGTATATTATCTATTACTCTCAAGTACATTTTCACAACTATATGTTGTAAATGAATTTATATTCATATTTATAAGCATAATTTCTGTAGTGTTTTTCATCACAGTGAATGTAAATATCTTAATATCTTGTTGCCCAATCACTGTAGCATCAACAATTGAACATCAAACATCAGTTATGATATCCCCTATCACTCACAAGTAGCCTTATATAAATACGTGTTGCAAACAATTTAATATTAATTTTTATAAGCATATTTTCTACAGTACATATTTTTCATGGTAAACGTTGATATCTTAATATCTTGTTTCACAATAATTGTAGTGTAAACAAACTATTATCAGACATCAGCAGTAATATTGTCTATCACTCACAAGAAGCTTTTCATAAATATATCTTGTAAATAAATTTATATTGATAATTATAAGCATATTTTCCACAGCATATGTTTTTTTATAGTAAACGCAGATGTCTTAATATGTTGTTGTGAAATCATTGTAGGATAAAGAAATTAATATCAGACATCAGTCATAATATTATCTATCACTCACAAGTACTTTTAGAGAAATATATGGTGTAAAAAAAATCATTAATATATATGATCATAATTGCTGTAGTGTGTCTTTTTCATAAATGTAAATATCTTAATATCTTGTTTGTAGCGTCAACAAACTATTATCAGACATCAGCAGTAATATTGTCTATCACTCACAAGAAGCTTTTCATAAATATATAATGTATATTAATTTATATTAAAATTTGTGTTCATAATTTCTGCAGTGTGTGTTTTTAATGATTGTAAATATGATAATATCTTGTTTCAAAATCATTGTAGGGTCAGCAAATAAACATCAGGCATCAATAATTATATTGTCTATCACTAACAAGCACATTTTCATAAATATATAGTTTGCAATAATTTATATTAATTTTTATGTGCACATAATTTCTGTAGTGTGTGTTTTTCATTGTAAAAGTAAAAATCTTAATTTTCTAATGTCCAAATGTTGTAGGAGCAACAAATTAAAATCAGACATCGTTAATAATATTATCTATAACTCACAAGGACCTTTTCATAAATATATCCTGTACATTAATTAATATGCTTTATTTATGCACATAATTTCTGTAGTGTGTGTTTCATTGTGAATGTAAACATCCTGATATCTTGTTTCACAATCATTGTAGGGTCAACAAATGAAAATCGGACATCAGTAATACTATTGTCTATCACTCACAAGCACCGTTTAATAAATGTATGTTAGATATGAATTAATATTAATATTTATAAGCATAATTTCTGTAGTGTTTTTCATTAATCTAAATATCTTAATATCTTGTTGTGAAATAAATGTAGGCTAAAGAAATTAAAAATCCAGCCATCAGTAATAATATTATCTATGACTCACAAGTAGCTTTTCATAAATTTATTTTGTAAAAAAAAACAATATTGATAATTATAAGCATTTTTTCCTCAGTTTTTTTTTTCATGGTAAATGCAGATATCCTAATATCTTGCTTTACAATTATTGTAGGATCAATAAATTAATATCAGACATCAATAATTATATTATCTATCACTCACAAGTACATTTTCATAAATATATGTTGAGAAATAATTTATATTAATATTTGTTTGCATATTTTCTGTAGTGTTTTTCATTGTGGATGTAGATGTCTAAATTTCTTTAAGTCCAACCATTGTAGCATCAACAAATTAATATTAGGCATCAGTAGTAATATTGTGTATCACTCATAAGTAGCTTTTCATAAATATATCTTGTAAATAAATTTAAATTGATAATTCTAATCATATTTTCCACAGTATGTTTTTCATGTTAAACACAGATATCGTAATATCTTGTTGTTCAATCATTTTAGGATTAACAAATTAATATCAGACATCAGTCATAATATCCCCTATCACTCACAAGCACTTTTTGAGAAAAATATGGTGTGAAATTTTTTATTAATATTTGTGAGCATAATTTCTGTAGTGTGTTTTTCATGAATGTAAATATCTTAATATTTTGTTGTGAAATAATTGTAGCATGAACAAATTAATATCAGACATCTGTAATAATAATATCTATCACTCACAAGTAAGTTTGGAGAAATATATGTTCTACAATAGTTTATAGTAATATTTTAGAGCATAATTTCTGTAGTGTTTGTTTTTCATTGTGTATGTAAATGTGTAATTTTTTTTGTTGTCCAATCATTGTAGGATCAACAAATTATAATGATCATAATAAATGCACACTATTTATGATATAATGATAGTTTAATGTACAACAACATGCCATAAACAGAAAAAACAGAAATGACAGTGTTACAATATTTAGTTAAGACAATGGGTAAGACAGAGGTAAGGAAAACAGCAGGGCACAGGTTGCATGCATGTTTTGCAGGGTCCACAGATGTTGATGTGCACAGGCCATGATTTCAAAACCTATTTAAACAAATCAAATGACAAGGTTACATACAAATCAGAAACATAAAAAAATTGTGTGTGTGTGTATATATGTATATATATATATATATATATATATATATATATATATATATATATATATATATATATATATATATATATATATATATATAATTACATGAAATATATTAATCAATAAAAACATGTCATTGTAATGCAAAATGTAAGTGATGTGTACCGTTATAGTAGTTGGCTGAATTCCTTTTGTTCGTTTTTCAACAACCTGAGAACTTGTGACACGGTCCCTTTGTTGTTTTTCACGCGATATTGAATATTCGGTCTGAAATCGCATGTAAGTAACACTTCAAACAACACTAGCATGATTTCTTTGACCATGAACGCTGTTGTAGTTTGATAATAGTTGTCTGCTAGTGTGATTTCGCTATTTGGAATTTGCAAACAATAGTTTTCTAATATTTTATTAGGGGAGCGTAAATGCGAATGTGCAAATATAAAACCAACTTTACTTCTATGTTAACCTGGATGCACGAGCGTAACAGCTGTGTTCATGTGAAGCTGTGTTCATCATGCGTTACATCAGATAAACAGCAGTCAGTGATAGAGGCAGACTCTGATGAAGCTGAAATACAGCTCATTAGTCAAAAATACCAAGTAAGTTTATTTTAAATATTTGTGGTGAAGTTTATTTAAGTCTTTTTGAAACGAGGAGTCACACACATGCAGTTTGCAGTACACACACAAGTGCGCATTTGCTGACACCATGCGGCTGTGGTGATTATAACAGTTAAGAATTACATGGTGATTTTACTGTCTTTATTACAAACTTGCTTTGTTTTAAAAACGTTTTAAACTTATAAATCTTCTAAAAATCACAGAGGGTTGGAACAGATATTTGAATCCCATTTTATTTGAAAAAAATTGTTCTGTTGGTGTGTTAACATGTTATTAAAGAAACATGGTGTCTGTTAGGGCTGCACGATATATCGTTTCAGCATCGAAATCGCAATGTGCGCATCCGCGATAGTCACATCGCAGGAGGGTGCGATGCAAAAAAAAAAAAAAAAAATGATATATATATTATGGGTGGAGCCGAACCGAAATACGGTATTCGGAAAAGCAGGAATAACGTGTTTTTACGAATACTTATTTCAAACAATACTTGATAAATTATTTGTATTTGGGAACAAGAAAAACATTATATCAAAAAGCTGCGTTTCCTCATGAGACCGCAGTGCATGCCCGCGTGAGTGAGTGAGTTAGTGAGTGAGAAGTTCAGGAGTCGGTGGGCGGGGTGGGGCCGGGGTAAGGAGACTGAGCAGGCTGCTTCTCTATACAGCAACAGAGAAGGCTTGGCAGAGCGAAAAATACTTTTCTGCATTACTCTTTTTGTTTATTTTATCATACTAAAATTACACGTGACAGAAGTTCACTCAAAAGTGAAAGTTCCTTCTGTTATTAATTACTAACACTCCCGTCATTCCTACTACTTTCAGAACATAAATTTTGATATTTTACCATATGAAAATGCAATGCAGTTATGAAAATTGAGAAATTAAAGCAATACAGAGATCTGGTCCCCGCGTCAGGTCAGGGTGCACCTGTAACCTTAAAAACGCAGACGCGGCGGAGGCGCACTAAACTCACACGGGAAAGAACTGGGCATTCAATTCATGTTTTAGTGAAATAATTCTTTAAATACAGCTCTTTTGATCTCTAAAGGGGAAAAAAGCTAAAGAAATTTGTCGTTAAATTAATTTTAGCAAAGACGCAACAACCCGATCTCATAACTTTGCGTACAAATAACACGACTTTCCACCTTCCCTTTGCGTGCAATGCATACGCCAAAATCCGTTTTTGCGTGCATATGATACGCCAGTCCTTCCCATTCATTTCTTTGGAGAACAGATGCGTCCATATGCCACGCACCAACTTTAACGGCGATGACGTCATCAACGAGACTCGGTTCAACGCCAGTTCACCTGATGAGCATCGACATTGAATCAAGTAAGTAAGGGCTTTTCCCCTCTTTTTGTGATGAGATCACGGCGTTAACTGCATTTTAATAAATTTTGTGTTTCTTCATCACGTTACATGAGTCGTGTGTTAGAAATTGTGCGTTCAAAGTTGTTATTCAAGTGTAACATCTGGGCGTTCAGTTAGCACAGCTGGTAACTTAGCCCAGCTATAACATTACTGCTGCCATTACTGGAGTAATTATTAATTAATTAATCAGTTTTTATCATGTTGTGACATGATTGGACGTTTTTAAACATCGGGGATGACGGCACTGCAGATCTACAGATTAAATTATAGTAGTGTGCATGCATTTTCAAAGTATCCTTAATACGACAAGTTCTTTGCTGATTTCGTTATGCTATATATATATATTTTTTTTATGGATAAATAACCTTAACGTTGGTTATTCTAAATTGTAATGAATCGGTCGAGGAAAGTCGCTATTAGCATTAAATACATTCTTTAACGAAATTTAAAGATTCGAGTCAGTAAAAAGCGAGTTTGTGCACATGCAGGCATCACTAGTTGCTTGCAGATCCATCCTATCATATTATGCTCCTTTTTCGGAATATTAGATTTTTTTTTTTTTTATTTCATCACAGATTAGACGCATATGATTTTACCTAAAGCTAAATAAAGCACAGTTAAGACTAGTCTGTTTAAAAAAGAATAAATAAATAAAATAAACCGTTGAAGTCATAACATATTTAAACACATTTCTAAACATAATAGTTTTAATATTTTACTAATATTAATATTTAACTTATGTGTGATGACTGATTTTCTTATATTTTTGCCATGATGACAGTACATAATATTTTACTAGATATTTTTCAAGATAGTAGTATTCAAGTGCATTTTAAAGGCGTAACTAGGTTAATTAGGCAAGTCATTGTATAGCAGTTGTTTGATCTCTAGACAATCAAAAAACATTGCTTAAGGGGGCTAATAATATTGACCTTAAAATGGTTTATAAAAATGGTTTTTAAAAAAACTGCTTTTATTCTAGCTGAAATAAAACAAAATATAGGAAATACTGTAAAATTTACCTTGCTCTGTTACACATAATTTAGGAAATATTTGAAAAAAATAAAAATAAATAAATCACATGAGGGCGAATCATTTTGGCTTCAACTGTATAAAATAAATATTGAGATGAAGACTTTTCTCTGCTGTGTACACCGTTCCCATTGTGTTATTACTGTATAGTAAAATTACTGTCACAACCTATAAAATATATTTATTCAAGAATATGGAAGTTCCAATAATGAGAGAAGGAAAGAACTAGTAAGTCAGTGTTTCCTAAGTATTAGTCAAAAAGCAAACATTACTAAATAATGTATCACTTCATTCAAAAAGTTACATATTTATGTGCAAAACAACTCAAATTTAAGCATTAAGTTATATAAATTTGAAAAACAAATTAATCTTACAAAATAGTCACTTTTTATTACCTATTTTTATATTTCTATATATTTCATATCTATATATCTATATATCTATATTTTCATTGCAAAGGCAATGTAATGGGAAATTAATTATTAGAAATATTTTTTTTCTTTTGTTTGTAGAAAAAAAATGCCAGGAGGATCAACTTTCAGGAAGTGCCCCCATTGCATGGAGAGACTCAACTGTGCAAATAGAAAGTGCACAAAGGTAAATAATGTACAATAGGCTGTATGAAACGGCAAACTGATATTTTTAGGAATTCAAGCCAGAGTCATTTAGTCCAAAATCAAACAATGTTTATACACTTTGACATGTCACAGTTCCTGGGCCCAAGCACTCTATACTGTGATGTTTAACAACGTACTGTGGTACTTTTTGAAAATCATGATTTATATCCATGCATAATATCTGATAGTCTGGAAGTGATTAATTTTTTATATAATTAAAATATTTGTGTCTGGGAAGCAGTAAATTGAGATTAAGTAGTAAGCACTGTTTTTTTAAGAGATTGGATGAAATATGTGATATGACTAAACAGTGAGTGCAATATAAACTATTTTCTTGATTCAAATGAGTAGAGGCTTGGACCTGGAAACCATATTCCATATGTCACAACTTACCAAGCAGGTTGGCATTAAATATCTCAGTTTTGGTATGCCGAATAATAAAGGCATTTTTTTTTAAACTAGAGTTTGCAAATTAAAGTTAATAACGCAAAAGAATAGTTATAGAAATATGTATTGTTACTCTACAAGTTTGCTTCACACTAGGCATTTTCCAAAACATTACATTTCACACATTATGGAAGTGTACCGGCTGACATTGATGTTTGACTGTTTGGTCCTTTAAATAATTTTCTCTTAGAGTGCTACAGTTTTAACATTGAATCTTTTTTTATATTGCAGTGATTCCATAGTGTGGTCACTCGGAATTTAAGAAATTTAAGAAAAGAAGTAATAAAAGTTATTGACTAGTGCATGCAATAGTGACAACTTAATAAATAATTTATATGGCCAGATAATGGACATGCATATTTTCTGTTAAAATATTTTCTTTCTTTGTATCTTTCCCTTGGTCAGTGTGGGAAACTGCTTGATCTGAAATCCAGACAGACAGCAAGAATGAAGGTGTTCCGGGGCCAAGCACAAGAATGGGCCAAGAAAATGAAAAAATCACGCAATCAAGCAAAGGTTTTTGACAGTAGTGCCCTACTGGTAATGAACATTTTTCTTTCTCTTTTAAAAAGAATAGTGAATTTTATTTACATTGTGCAGGAAAGCAGCAACTATGCTGATGTCATGCAGTAACGTGCCCTGAAATCATCAACCCAAACACATTTTCAGTATATTAGAATCTACACAATCTTGGCCTGTCTACAACATATATAGTTTCAGCACCATTATGACACTTACATGTTTTGTTTTCTGGTCATGGAGTGAATAGGTGTATTTCTTGGTGTGGATGTAGTGCAGAATCTTTCACAGATAGGTTTGCTTGGGTGGTTTACCTCTTTAAAAACACATGCTAAGAATAGTTGACTCCTATGACCTATATAACAACAACAACTTTTATGTGTATAATAATAATCATGGCTGCGTTTCTCGAAATATTCTTAGCAATTTGTTGTTTCTAAGTTATACCTGTAGTTACATTAACATTAACATGTTTTCTGCAACATTATTATTTAACTATACCTTCTTTAAGTCATAGCAATATAAATATAAAGCCATTAAATTTAGTAAATAGTAAAGAGTACTACTTGTCAACCAGATCAGAACTACCACCATGGACAGCACCACACAAGGTCCACATAAAGATTTATACCTTAAACAACTTTCAAAAGTTATTGTTTAGAGAACATGCCTAGAATTTGTATACCTTTCCTTAAGAAAAAAACTTTGTATTGGTGTTGCACTAAGAGACGTTATCAGGAAATTGAGTCCATGTCTTTCTTGCCTTGGAAACATTTTTTATATACATCTTTCTATGTTTAGGTGGAAAAACTGAAGGCCCTTGGATACTTTCCCCTCCTGCTGTGGGGAAAGTATCATCCTCAAAAAAAAAAATGGACAGCCCAGCTGCAGTGCCCATTTCAGTTGCCAGTTGTTGCACATGGGGTTATGGAAAAGATAATGTGCCTCTTTGAAGGTCTGTTAGAAGGTATGTCTCATCACAACATCAGTCCATTTGTGAGTCTCAATTATAATTTATTCTGTATTATTTTACTATTCAGATGGAGCAGAACACTATATTGCAAAACAATATGGGACACCCCACCAAATCATTGAATTTAGATGTTCAGTCACTTTCATGGCCACAACTGTGTAAAATCCTGCACTGGGCATGCAGGCGCTTTTACAAGCTTTAGTGAAGGAATGGGCAGCTCTCGGCGTAGAGCTCAGTGAATTCAAGTTTGGCACTGTGATATGTTGCCACCTGTGTAATTGCCTAAATTTATTGTGTGAGTGGGTGGAGGTGTATTATTGATCTGGGACTGTTTTGAGGTGCTTGGCCGTTTGTTAAAGGAACTCTTAATGCTTCTCCATACCAATACATTTTGGACAATTCCATGCTCCTATCTTTGTGAGAACAATTTGAGGATGGGGAGACCTGCTCCAACATGACAGTATGTCAGTGCACGAAGCACAGAACATAAAAACATGGATGAGCGAGTTTGGTGTGGAGGAAACTGACTGGGCTGACGCCATTGATTGCCACAAATGTTGGGCCATCTCCATTTTAAACTGTATGGCTTAAGATTGTGATGTCATTAAAGTTCATATGCATGTAAAAGCAGATTTCCTAACATTTTTGATAATATACTGTAAAAATGTCAGTACAGATATTTTTATACAAAACAGATTGCTGGTGGTAGGCAATTCTATTAAATTCAATTCAAAATCTACAAATTTATTTTGTTGTTCACACTTGGAACCATGCACTGCATATTACATGTCTGGTTTTGTTTTATATTTTAATAAAGCATGTGATCTGGAAAGTGAGGAAGTGGGCCAAGAAAGTACAGGAGAAGAAAAGGAACCAGAACAAGAAATGCAAGATGAAAACCAGAGAGAACAGGCAGAGCAATGTGAGACAGGAGAGACCGAGAGGAGGGATGTCCAAGGAACGGAGATAGAGGAACAAACAAAGGAAGACAGAGTAGAGAGTGAGAGAGAGAAAATAGGAGAAATGGAGGGACAGAAAGAGGGACTGAAAGAACTAGATAGGATGGCCCCAGATGAAGAGAGAGCTCTGACTGAGTAAGTAAGCCGGTAATAAGACAGTTGATAAGACAGCAGACAGGTAAGTGACCATATAAAATAGAATACAGTAATCAGGACAACCTTGACTCAGTGGAGTTGTGAAGGGTGTTCCGGTGCTACGCAGAAGGAATTTTGTTTTAGCAGTGATGGCAAATCAGAAGGCTGCCAGTCATTTTGAAAACATAAGTCAACAAAATCAGCACACTGACTCTTTTGCTCTCAAAAGACAATTTATTGAGGCAACGTTTCAGCAGGTCGCATATCTTTCAACACACAATACCCTAATTAACCTACCAATAAATGTCATGACAAATATGAAAAAAATAAAGGAAAATCTCTCTCTCTATCTCTCTCTCTCTCTCAATATATATATATATATATATATATATATATATATATATATATATATATATATATATATATATATATATATATATATATATATATATATATATATATATAAATGTATGTATATATATATATATATATATATGTGTGTGTGTGTGTGTATATGTGTATATACTGTATGTGTGTTAAATGCGCTGTATCTGACACTTTAGTCAGTATAATCCAGTTAAATGTGCATATAGCACAGGATTTTAAGATCAGAATGTGTTCGAATATAAATGGATCAGTTTTCAGAAATCTAACAGCTATTTGGTCGGAAAAAACACATAAAGTGACCAGGTGGACAGGCCCTTAGATTCTCTTGCTTGCTTGTGACCTGATGTAGGCCCAAAAATTGTCTCAATAAATTACTATTTAAGAGCAACAGTAGTTGAGCACCTGCCTTGGATGTGCGCATACTGACCCTTTTTTTAATTTTGCCAGTCATTTTAACAATTTTTTTTTTAGTTTGCTAGGCTTCATTTAATTAAAGTAATAAACAATTGTTCAGTTGAATAATGCACAATCACATGGTAGCCTACACAACACATGGTTCAGTCATTAGAGAATGTGTCATTAGATTATCATTTATTACAGTCGAATCGTATGTATTTACCTGGCTTGCAAGTCATGCACAAAAGGCCTTTATTGCAGTTAACACACTTTTTCTCTATACAGGAATCCTGCTGTCAAAATTGCTGCTAAAAAGAAAAGACATAAAAGAAGCCAACCCAAGGATGATGGTAGGAAAGTACTATTTTGTTATTACATATAATATAACATAATAGAATATAATAAGTATATAAAGTTATATAGTAAGTATTTTGATTTTAAAATTATATAATTCGTAAATCATAAACTCTTTAACTAATCCTAATCATAAAGATAATAATATAAATAACAATTTTAAACCTGAAATGTCTACAGTGTATTATCTTTTTATTGGTATTTTATTGCAGGCCTAATAAAACATTTAAACAATCATAAAAGGCCTGATAAAACAATTAGTCAAATTAAACCTGAAATTATGATGTGCATTTACTTCTGGTCTAATATTTCAAGTATTCAATATTAAAAATATTGACTAGCATTTATTTAAGTTGGAACTGGTTTGAACCTGCAGTTTATATAGTGTAATCTCTTGGAAGTTTTCTCCATCTTTGCTAGATCTTAAATTAGACTTTAGGTAAAAGACTTTATTATGCAAAATTATGCTGTGTAACGACCCAACGTATACATTGTGACCCAATATCAACAATGTGCTAACACAAAGTATACTTAAACGTCTTGGTAAGTACCAGAGAATTCACAAGAGCTTATTCCAAAAAAGAATGACTGTCATCAAAAGGCAACAAAGGATTTATTAACTTTATTTATATTTACTAAATAAAATTATACTAGTCAGTAAAACTATTGTAAATAGGACTTTATTCTTGTTTGTGATTTTAAAAAGAAATGATTTGGGTTTTTAATACATTTAGGAAAGTTTGCGAAAAAAATGAGAGTTGTAGATTATTGACATGATGTCAGACAGAATCACACTGGTGAATTCTTCCATTTCTGTGGTTTTGTTTTTGCTACTGTTACATCAAAGTGGAATGGTTTGTATTTACAGAATTGTTTTTTTTTTTCCACAGCCTGCCAGTTTCACAGCAAATTGGAAATTTTTCCAGTACAATATGTGTCCAAGACACGTGAAAACAAGGTTAGTTAGCTATACCATATGACTGCATTGTGTGAATAAATGAATGAATTAAACTATCCTACATACTGCTACATAATTTTATACTGCTAAAATGTTTGCTTTTTTCAGAAAAGATTAAAAAAATGTGTATATGTTGAACATTTTCAGCTACAATTATATGAATATTGAACCAAACCTTTACTGTTTGGGTGATTTATATGTTGTCTGGTTTATCTTGGTTGGGTAAAGGATTTAAATGAATACTTACAAAATAAATGTATAACCTTTGTTTTCTTATACCGTCTTCCCAAGGGCTGTAAAGAAGTACTGGTTCATTGGCACCCGTGCCCATCATGGTAACATCATGTTTCTTTATTAAATGACTTAGGCCTTTATCTGTATTTTTAAAGACACATTCTATTTAATTAAGCATAAATTGGGTGTTATTTACATTTATATAATAGGTAACTACAACACTGTTATAGGCTCATTTTGATGGACTGAGACAATGCTTCATCACAACTACAGTACAACTTACAGTACCCTTTTTTGTGGCATTTTGTTAAGCAATGACTTATCCATAAATAATATGCCTAATTTGCTATTTTTCTAAGTATTTACTGTCATAATTTAATATTCAGTTGGAATAGGGTAAGCTTTATATTACACAAAATGATTGGATATACAATATGATCTTTGAATGATTATAATGCAAACATAATACTATATAATATAAACAACCTTATATTTTAACTACATTTTAGCTGTCTACCCCATTTTGTCTGGGACATGTCATAAACCATGTCAGAATCTACAATTGTTTGTACAATTTCAGAAACCAATTTTTTTTTGTTTATTTCTTTCAGCCAAAAGACCTGGCCCCCATCTTGGGAACCACAGGGGAACATACAAATGACAGTGTCAGGTTGATGCCAACTTTCCTACCACCTAAAATGAGATTAAGAGAAATAGTGTTAATACTAATTATCTCCATTAAAGCTATACATGACTGAATAAAATGGATTTTCTGTCGACAACAAAACACATGATTGTAGCGTTCTGATTGGCAGGTTCAGCCTTTTCATTTCACAGTTCTGGTAATCTGAGTTATAAATATGGAATTGGGAGTTTATATAACAGTATAATTAAAAAGACTGTCAATAAAGTCATAATTGTGAGAACTATATAAAGAAAGTCTGCTAAAAGTTCAGTTGTCACCTTGGTGGTTCAAATAAAAAATGTTATTTTTCCCATGGAACTGTGTTGTGTGGACAAAAATAAAAGTTGAATGGATTGAAATCAGTGTATAGATGTTTTTTTTTATTATTCATGTATTTTTCTTTGGCTTAGTCCCTGATTTATCAGGGGTCACAACAGCTTTAACTGCACTGGCATATATAACTTTATATCTCAACTCTAGTAACAGTTTCACTTTTAACTCTGGGCCCAGCGTTTGAGACTGAACAGCTGTAGTACATTTTTAGTAGTGTTTTTGTCATATTCAAGGTATAGCCAGTTTTGGTATTACAAATTTTACTGTTAACACTATAACCACATTACTGTATCAGTACACTCTATTTTTATGACAGGCACACTTTTTTAAACAGACCTTGCCCTAAATATATTTTGCATCTGTAAATGTTCTGTTACAAAACTCCAAGTTTATAAAATAATTAGATAAATAGCAAAAACAAATGGCAATACAGATTTAATATAAAGTTAATTATAGAAAAGTTAAGTCATAACAAACGTCAATTAAATATTATTACATTATATACATACATTATATACATTACATTATATACATTCAGTGTGCCATGTCCTTACACGTTCATTATTCGTTAAAAGCGCCGGATCCTGGCACTGTGTAATGTGTGAAGTAACAACTCTGGCTGCTTTCTTGCAAAAATAAGCGTGCATTTTATTTTCAGAGTCTTAGGTTTATGTAAATTGTCTGTAGCTTTGAGTTCGTTGCTATGGTGATTGACGCTTTTAGCCTGCTATCCGCTTGTTAAGTGTGGCGTCACGCGAAGCGGCTTCCGGGTCCACGCGCTCTATCAAAGAGCTTAGAATTGGCATTCTAAGCTCTTTGGCTCTATTCAACTGAATGGGGAGACTCATGAAATGGTAATAATAAACGTTTACAAAGCGATTTAATACTTTTAAAAAATCACGATCGCAATATATATGTCCGTGCCCAATATCCGATGGCCAGAAAGTGAATAATTTTTTTATAACTTGTTTAAATGTTGGTATTTGTTATGCAGCAAGCCCAGAGATTGGTGTGTACACTATGACTTCATATAAATTTAACTTTAATGTGTAATATGAATAAAAAGTGATCATAAACTAATGATTTTTCAACTCAAATGAGTGGCAGCTTGGACCTGAAAACTGTACTACATACGTCACCAATACGTCACCACTTGCACCAAAGCGGATACGTGAAACCCCATAAGTTTCATGACGTACACATACCCCAAAAGTATCATTTTTTCATTGATAACCCAAGTATACTGTATATTATTGTTAAGAATATAATTTGTAATATTTTCTTCGATTTTTTTGGTTTTAATTTTTTTTGGGCAGCGGAAAAGTACGGAAGTGATTCGGGCTGTGGGCGGAGTTAGCGTGTTTTACACCTATTTTGTCTCCAATGTCTGAAATAAAGCAACTTATTTACTTTGGGAGAACATATATCATCTACGTGTCGTGTAAGCACTTATTTGATTGTACTAGATGGTTTATTTATGCAGTAGATATATGTTTTTGTAACCCTAATTTCTAACCCTAGTTTGAAAACCAGAAGAACTACAAATATGGTGCCGATTTGTATGAAACTCCGTAAAGAGGCTAGTAGGAATTGTAGTTTTTTTTATTTTTCTGTTTTACTTAGAATTGGAAATTGTAAAAAGTAAGTTCACAGTATAATGGGGGATTTATGGAGATGGT